AAAGGGGAGTAGCTGATACACATCATACACCCAGCAATTTTATTATTAACCACTAGATGATGTATCCAGTGAACTTAGAGGGAAGGCACAGGGGCCACAGGAATAAAAGGGTGTCAGAACTCAAAATTGAAAGCTGACCACCCAATGCCACTCCCCTAGGAACTCCTTAGGGTTCATGCAAAGTGTGATATACAGATTGATCCATTGATTCCCCTCTAATAAATAGATACAACATACGGGGAAACATATTGGCCTCAGGATTAACATAGGCTGGCCAGATCCAAAAGACCATCAGTATGTTGATCTTAGAGTTTGATGACAATTCATCAAGCAGCTTGCAAGTTTTAAGCAGACACACACAGATTTAGGTTTAGGTAATAATCCCACCATTATAAAATTGTTATAAGTTTTGTAGTTTTTGTATGAAAGTGCTGTGAATAAAAAAAAGTTTATATCTAATGCTGATCTCTCAGCTCTCACCAGAGAGAAAGCCAGTATAGAAGATAATAATTTTAACTTTATTACAGAACTATCTAAGAAAAAATTTTAATAAACAAAAGGTATATATTTTGGCTACAAATCATCAACTAAAGAGTATAACATCTAAAGCTAATGGTGGACATGTTGTTTATACAGCTCCCTCTAGAGATTGTCACTTTACATTCTTTACAAAGTAACTTTTGTGATGCTACTCTGTCAGCAGCGAAACATAGTGCATTGCTGTTCGAAGTCTTCATGTATTGAATCTAAATGAAGTTTAGTGTATTGTGTGTGAAAGCACTTTAAGAATGTGGACATACATTAAAGAAGCCTTTTCCCCCATGTGTAAGTGATTTTCTGAAGCAGACCATCTATTTCACCTTTTCAGTTATGACACATCACCATAACCATAAGGTAAAATGTGTGGTTGTTTACTGGATTCACTGGTGTTTGATTTGGTATTTTCTTTATTACTATCATGGTATTTTTCTCTCACTAGAGAGTATTATTGGCAAAAGCTAGTGGTGAACACATTAATACCACAGCTCTTACCAAGATTTCACACATAGAAGCACGTAAAGCTAGTGGTGAACACGTTAGTACCATAGCTCTCACCAAAAGCAACAAAAACAAACTTATGAATCTAGTACTGAACATGTTAGTAACATAGCTCTCACCAAAAGCAACAAAAACAAACTTATGAATCTAGTACTGAACATGTTAGTAACATAGCTCTACCAAAAGCAACAAAAACAAACTTATGAATCTAGTACTGAACATGTAAGTAACATAGCTCTCACCAAGAGCAACAAAAACGAACTTGTAAAACTAGTAGTGAACACTTTAGTAACATAGATCTTACCATGAGCAACTAAAAGAGATGCTTGTAAATGTAGTAGTGAACATGTTAGTAACATAGCTCTTATTAAGAGCCTTAACAAGTCAGCTATTAGCTCTCTTGCTATTGGTTTTGCCAAGTTTGTGACCCTATATTGACCTTTATAGTTTCCATACTATAACTTCCATTATGTTTTGTGTGTCTTCATGAAATCTTGCAAGCTTTCAGTAAGCATTAAAGTGTCTTTTGTAGACAAAAAAAATTTAATTTTTAATAAGGTATTTTAACTGTAACTAAAGATATGGAGTTAGTGTTGACTGCTGAAGTGCAAAGTATATTTCATTTTAAGATTAAGAGTACTTTTCATCTGAAAATTCTCAAATTTCCTTTGCGTAATCTCTAAAGCCTCCTAAGTAAATCTCAAAAAGTTTTTTTTTCAGTAAACTTTACATTTATTTTCTCTACCCTACATCTACATATATATATACACACACTATTTGTGTGTACAGGGTCAGTCAATTTGACCAACCTCATAACCACCATTTTTTCTTTCTAGAATGACTTGAATTTGTAACATGAAATTACATTTGCTTATCCTGAATAGCTTTAAACTTGTAACAGCATACATTTTATTTTTATTGTTTTATTATTACCCTTTGAACTGTTTCTGACTAATATTCCTGTCACACTAGTTGTAAATCACTTGGCAAATGTCTAACTCACATTACCCTATCAAATTATGTAATTCACAGGCTACTTGCAAGTTGCTTGCGAGCATATACCTTGTGAAAAATTATTATTACTCTTTATTTTACCTAATCTAACCTAAATAATTCTAATTTTTATATTTTGTCTACTTTTATATAGTAGATAAAAAATACACATGAAAAACAAGAAATATGTTCCTTCCTTGGGTCTTTTTTTTCTGCTGTTAAATATCAGTAAAATGTAATCCTACTTTTATTATACTAATGGTAATCCTGCAATAAATAATTTTTTATTCCCCTAAATAATGCACCTCCGAACATAGAATAACAAC